TGTAAAAATATTAGTTCCAAATGAGATGTACTAGCTGCAGGAAAAGATTGCTGGACCACCTGTGACATCTCAGTGAAAATAAACATTTATTTATCTTTGCATTATCAACAAAATATAGTAACTCTGCCAATGTCAGGCTTTCTATACCCCCTTTTCTTGATGAATCAATGGATTCAGATGAAAGGGAAAAAGTGCCTTCTTGTTCATGGGCTCCAGGTACTTATTTTTGTATAATGTGTATTTTTTATTTGATATAAATAAATCTGGAAGATCTGTTTATACTGTATATTGGTATCAGTTGTTTCATGAAGATGGGAGCCAATTCTTCCATCACTGAAGCAAATAAGCGGAGAAATAACAAAAACCAATTAAATGTCTTGCATTTTGCCCTTGTGATTAGAATAGTAAAAGGTACTCAAGAAAGTCCATCAAAAAGCAAGTGAAGAATTTTTATGAAAACTCATTCCTAGGAACTTTTAATTGTGCAGTCTTAACTCAGTGCAGTCCAATGCAAATTGATGTGAAAGTAATACATTTCACTGTTGTGAGTGGATGTTACAGGATAGTTTGTGGAGGGTTGCAGCTCTCCCCCCCCACTTGTTTTGGTCATCAGTGATATGTCAGTGTTCTCCCTCCGAAGATGGCTAAAGAATTCTGAAGGAGAATTTGCCAAGGCCACCCAGTGATTTCCAGTGAGCTTTGAATGTCTTTTTCATACAATACAAGCCACCTTACATTATCTCCTTCTTTTATATTGGCATCGGGAGTGCTACTCCCTTTGAAAAGCCACTTCTGATCCCGGTCAGAGAGCCATGGCTGCACACATGTACAAAGAGGTCGTTTCAGGTCACTGTAGGCTTTGTTCTGCCGACTGCAGCATTTTTTCTACTGTAGCTAAGCCTTTGGCTGCAGGTCAAAATTGTGTCCATTGTGAGGTATTAATGTTTACATGTCTGGGATAACAAGTAGAGATGGTAACATTTGCAGCACCCACAAATACATTTTGGTCTTGGAGCCAGAAAGAGGTGAATGGCTGTGCAGAGCAGGAGGGGAAGAAAAACAGGTTCAGCAGTTACAGCCCACTGAGTCTGGATGGCAAAAATAATAATAATAATAATTTTTTTTTGGTAACTGTAGAAAAGAATGCTAATTGCAGAGCTTGCTCTCTTTTTCATCTTATCCATTAGATAAGAAGACCTCCTCCATGCACTTCAATTAACTACAAATGTTCTGCTGTTTCTTGATTATCGATTCAGTTATATTGTTTGATTTCTTTTTGGTTGCCATTTGCTCTTGTGTTGCACATTATTGAGTGAAAATTATCTGATTTATTTATTAATTGCACTGTGGTGCTTCTGACACAGAACACAGAAAGAAGGCAGAGACCAAGTTTGATGCCAGAGAATTTGGGGGATGGGACTGCCCAGTGGGAGATGGGACCAAAAATGAAAGAAAAGGACAAAAAATGCCGCCATGTTTTATCTTGGAACTACTAATAACTAAGAAAGGCCTGTTAGAAAGGAATACAATCTGATTTATTTATTAATTGCACTGTGGTGCTTCTGTCACAGAACACAGAAAGAAGGCAGAGACCAAGTTTGATGCCAGAGAATTTTGGGGATGGGACTGCCCAGTGGGAGACGGAACCAAATATGAAAGAAAAGGGACAAAAATGCCTCCATGTTTTATCTTGGATATACCAGACGGGCGGGATATAAATCAAATAAATAAATAAATAAATAAATAAAATAACTAAGAAAGGCCTGTTAGAAAGGAATACAAAATCTGGTGAACCACCAGATGTTGGTATTAGGGGAAGGTAGAATAGCCACATAAGGAAGCCTACAGAGCTATATTTTGCCTGGAAAGTCAGTTTTGAGCCCAAGACCTACAATGGGCAAATTTACATGGAATTTCCAAACCATATTTTGTATGTCTTTCTCCTGGCACTCTTGCTGGGGATGAAGGGAACTCAAGAGTCTTCTTTTACATCAGATGGTCCTTCAGTTGAAGGACACAGAAGACTGTCCTCTTTCAGAAGGTGTCCTCTATTTGAAGCATTATCCAGTCCAAATCTGATTGAAAGAGAAAGAATAAGGAATGTGAGCAAGTTGCTCACACAGAATTATCACTAGGAAAGCAAGCTTCCAGAAGCACACAGCTCATCTGTTCATGGCCTAGCCCACTCCGCTGAGACATACTGTAATTCTGTTTTAATTATAAAGATTATTTCTAGTTTTGCATCTGCGCATACAAATCAGCACACAATTTAATGCAAAGCAGTGTCTTCATTTGCCATCTTTTGTTGTTGCTGTTGATTATGCTTGTCCTCCTTGTGATGTGCAACTGGCGACCCTACAGGAAGGTAGAAACGGAAAGGACAGATCAGAGAAGAGAAAGGGAGCACAGGAAACCCCCTCTGTATGCTCTTCAAGCTCCTTACTCATCTTTTCCTGTTTATTCTAGCTGTCATCTGAGGAGGAGGGATTTGGTGAATCTTTTAGAGGCTAACTACAGGGGCTGTTTAGCTTACTGTTTGGAACGCTGCAGGGATGGGCTGGTGTGCTCTTAATGACCCTACAGGGAGGTAGAAATGCAACTTTTATCTCTTTGTCTTGCAACCATGTATAAATGTTTCCCAGGTAGTCTCTCTCTCTCTCATGTCTGAGGAAGTGAACTTGATCCATATTAAAAATATATAGCTGTTAGTCTTTAAGGTGCCATGTTTTTCCCTTCTTTAGTATTTTTGTTCTTATTTTGTTTCTTGTCTCAATTTCTTTTTTTAATAACTGATGCAGCACATCAGCAATGGCAAGCAGACAATGTCTTTTCTAGAGTGCAACAGTCCATCCAGAGCATTTCTACCCACACCTTTTTGGCCCTCGTCAAAGGGCTTCTTCTTTTCTGGTGCAGGTAGGATCGCTCTCTGGTTTGAATCAGTTCTAGTGTTGCTGGAACCAATCCAAAGCAAGCCTTCCTCTTTCAGATTGCCAATGTAATGATAGGTAAAGATAAAGGTTCCCCCTGACAATTGTCCTGTCGTGTCTGACTCTAGGTGCTCATCCCCATTTCCAAGCCATAGAGCCAGCATTTGTTCATAGACAGTTTCCATGGTCACGTGGCAAAGCAACTGCCGGGGTAGTGGTGTGTAGGTAGTGGCGGGGTTTGGCACGACTGGAGGTGGATCTGGAGAGGGGTCTGGAGGCACCTCTAAGCCCAAGATTCCTGTTTCTGCCACCGCTTCTACTGCCACTACTTCTGCTGCTGCTGTTGATTTGAACTGCTGATCTTTTGACATTGCAGCCCAGAGGCTTTTGCAGTTTAACCCACAGCGCCACCAAGTCATGATATCAATGTCATGATATTGGCAAATCAATCCCTTTCCTTGCTCAGCAGAGGACAGAGGAAGTGATCTCCCCCTAACCGTATGTAGACTATCACTGATGTACTACATCAGTTATATTTAAAAAAATCAAAAATATTTTCTTTGCCACACTTGAAAGGCCTGGTCGAGAAACCACCCACAGTCTAATTTACAGTGGTCACTTTGTTAAAAGCAATTTCTCAGCTGACCCTTTAAGAAAAGGCAAAGGAAAGATTTTTTTCCTAAAGCGTGTAAAATGCCACATTGATTCATGCAATTTGCAATTATGCAACTTTTATCTCTTTGTCTTGCAACCATGTATAAATGTTTCCCAGGTAGTCTCTCTCTCTCATGTCTGAGGAAGTGAACTTGATCCATATTAAAAATATATAGCTGTTAGTCTTTAAGGTGCAATGTTTTTGTTTTCTTTAGTATTTTTGTTCTTATTTTGTTTCTTGTCTCAGTTTTTTTTAATAACTGATGCAGCACATCAGCAATAGTCTATATACATTTTGTTTCTTGTCTCAGTTTTTTTTTAATAACTGATGCAGCACATCAGCAATAGTCTATATACATTTTTAGTTCACTTCCCCAGCTCTCTGACAACCAGGGGAAGTGCTTGATCCACCAACATCCTGAAGTGGTTCACTTATTAAGCCACTTCACAATAATGGCAGGGGCCATTTCCCTGTGAACAGTCAGGATTATCCTAGATCAGTGATAGCAAACCTATGACATGCGTGCCACAGTTGGCATGCAGAGCCCTCTCTGTGGGCACACAAGCCATAAGTTGCTGGATTGCTATCCCCAGCAGCCAAACCTGAGGAGGAGGCTGCAGCTGCAGTGATAGTGCCCCGACAGGTGGTATGCCGGGATCCAAAGCAACTGGTGCAGTAGTGGTTGGTAGGTAGTGGCGGGGTTGGGCGCAACTGGAGGTGGATCCGGAGAGGGGTCTGGAGGCACCTCTAAGCCCAAGATTCCCGTTTCTGCCACCTCTTCTGCTGCCACCACTTCTGCTGCTGCTGCTCCCCCCTGGGTTTTTTTGTGGGTTTTTTTTATTGCAGTTTGGGCACTTGGGCTCAAAAAGGTTTGCCATCACTGCCCTAGATGCTTCTAATCAGGTCCGACCTCAAGCAGCCCACACGAGCTCCCTCGCTGCTGCTAATGGACGCGCACCCTCGCATTTCTGCTGTGCTGCTCTCTCCTCGCGCATCACACAGCCCATCCTCTTGGGGCAGTAAAATACTGTAACTCGCTTTGGTGTGTCCCTGCGTCGTTAAAGAGCAGTATAAGCCTATATACTACTATCTTGTTGCAACTAGAACATATTTCAGCCACATTAAATCAAGCATTAAACTGACGTTTTAAACCCCCACCCCACCCTCCCAGCAATGCCAGCCATTCCATGGTCATGCCAACCCATCTCATTCCCTTTCATGACCCACTCCTTGTGCTCTTTATAGCTCGCACAGAGCCTACAGAGCTGCAGATGTTAGCGCCCCCTCTTTTTCCTATCTTTTCCTATAGATTTTCGAGTAGCTGCCTTTTGTTTCCAGTAGATATTCTCGTCCTGTTAAGAGGCTACTACGGCAAGCACAGAAAGGGAGGGCTCCGCGTTCCCCCAGCCTCGCAGAATTAAGCACCGGCTTCCTTGCGCTCCTGAACTACACTTCCCAGGAGGCAAAAAGAGCGGAGCGCATGCGCATTTTCCCTCTCCAGCATGGCTACGGTGCTGTCACGGGCGCTGAAGCTGCCAGGTAGGGGTCTTGGACACCTCACTTGTTGAGCGCGGGTATGGCGCGCGGGAAGGTGGGAGCGAGCTGGGGCCGGCATCCTGAGCACACCCAGAGATGGGGCGCTGCAGCCGCGCGTTGCTAAAGGGGAGAGCATCCGGGTCCCATCCGGCGGGGGTGAGAGAACAACCCCTCCCTTCTCGCGCTCATCCGGGTCTCAGCAGGTGCCCTTCATCTCTGCCCATGAAGACGCAGAGGGGGGGGGGGTCGTTTGCATCCTGAGGGAGGCGGAATGCTTTCTGGGGGGTGGATGGGTCGTCCTACATACAGTGTATATGTTTGTCAGGCGAAGGATGGGACCAGGAAGGATACTAAGAGGTTGTTATGGCGATCCAGACTTGCTCCAGCTCGTACTTGTGAAAGAGGACGGGGGTCGATCCTGAATGGAAAATCAGGAAGGCGGTTACTGGTCCTGAGAGATGGCATGGGGGAAAGCAGGGAGGCTGGGAGGGGAAATGGAGATGGTTCTGCTGCTACCCTGAGGCGACCGGGAGAGGGATGCGTGTCTGTGTGGGCTTTTCTGCGCTCTCCTTTCCTCAGGGCGACGACTGAGGCAAACCTTCAGTTTGGATCAAAACAACACCATCCAACATTTTTGCAAATGTTGACATGTGGAAGAGGAGACATCGCCCGAGGAGTTAGTTGGTCGGGGCCGGAGGAGGACATAGAGAACAAGCACCTGGTCTAGATGCCATTGTTGCATGGCTTGCAGGAGCTTTTCTCATCCTTTTCTTAAACTTCAAAGGCTTTCCCTGCAATCAAACCATTGTTTTAAACTTTCCAGCGTTGAATCAAACAGCTTATCTGAGTGCATACAGAGGATGCTTAATAATACATAACTTCTGGCACCTTGACATACATTCCAGTATTTGCTGGATGCTGGAATGTATGTCAGTCACACTAGTTAACCTGTTTATTTTCCTTTGCATTTTAATTGCAATAAACACTGCAGCCCTGCATACAGATGTACAGGCAATTATTTGAAGTCTATTTAATGGAGGTGTATGCTCTGCCCACTCCCAGTAATGTATTCCAGAAACTCTTAGTCATTCATTATCTAAGACATTTGATTTTTGCAAACTTGCACATGACTCAAGTTCACAGATAAGTATTTTATAGAAAATCCTCTTGGACATGCCTAATTTTTATTTTCCACTTGCCATTCTTACTGTTGGTGCCTTTCTTACTGTTGGTACTAGCTAATGTGGTGTAGTGGTTAGAGTGCTGGAGTAGAACTCGGATGTTCTGAATTCAACTCATTTGACTGAAAAACTCAGTGAGCTTGCATTAGTCTGACATATCTCATAGGATTGTTGTGAGGATGAAATGGGAAGAAGAGAGGAAAGGTGGGGTATAAATATACGTAAAATCTTGTTATGTAAAAGAATGGGGAAACAAATACACTCATTTTTGCTATGTGACCTCTTGCAGAGCAGTTGGTGATTTGTGAATTTACAAAACAAAAGTACTGTACAGCAAACTGAACAGTTGGACTCTGGGGTACAGCTTGATTGTGGATGCCTGTCAGAACCAACGAGTTTAGGGGGACAAGGCACCAGGTGGAAATTTTGGAGCTGTATCTCAACACTTCACATTTCATTTTTTGAGCCTTAAAATCTCAACATCTCAACACTTCACATTCCATTGTTTGAGCCTTAACATCTTAAATTTGGTGTTGCTTAAAAAACAAACTGTTTCACACTCAGGGGTGTGTCATTTCTAAGATGCAAGGAGGGACATTGAGTTAAAAGTGAGGGTAATAAATATGGCAAAATTAAGCATATGAGAGAGAGCCCCATCGTCTTTCTCATTAAATTAACTTAATAATTCTACTGGCTTCCTCTCCTGTGTTTGACCTGGCATAGTTTTTCATGGTCCTGGCAGAGTAGAACCGAAAAGAAAGGAAATGTGGCATTTTCTCATTGGTTCCTAGAAACTATAACATCATACAGCAAACCTCCACTGCAGCTTCTTATCCATTCACCACTCGATCTTGCTAATAATTTTAATGAGGTAGTCACATGCTTCTTTTTTTGTTTGATTTAAAGAACAAAGCATTCTCTGTGGTATCCACTACCACCATTTGCATTCTTCTTACTAAGGCTTGTTGACTCAATCCTCTAGCCCGGCTCCACCTGTCTTCTTTTTTAATTTGCTCACTGTAACCTAGAGTTCCTCAAGGCATTATGTTTGGCTCCTGGGAAGACAGTGGAGATGGATCTTTCTGTATGGGCTTGTCACTTTCACGGAGGCTATTCAAAGCAGGGAAAAGAAACTGACAAGATAGCATTTTTAGCAACCCTAAAAAGAAACACTAGGTCCTGAACTTGGTAAGCCTCCTTTGCTCCCTTTTCCTTTTGTATTCTGTGTTTTACACTGCAAGCTTGAGACTTTCATGTATTAATCTTTGTAACTTGCTCTGAGAGTTTTTTTCTTGCCTCTCAGAGCTAACAATATCATTTATTTATTTATTTATTTATTTATTTATTTATTTATTTATTTATTTATTTATTTATTTATTTATTTATTTATTTATTTATATCACGCCCATCTGATCATCTATCTATCTATCTATCTATCATCTATCTACCGCCCATCTGATCAACTGACCACTCTGGGCGGCTAACAACACATTAAAATAAAACAATTTAAATACAACATCAATATATAGCAGGTTGTTCATGATGGCGAGAAAAACAGATAAATCAAATAGTGGCTGGAAAAAGAGCAATAGTAAAAAGGTAAAGGTTCCCCTTGCCATTTAGTCCGGTCGTGTCCGACTCTAGGGCTCATCCCCGTTTCTAAGCCATAGAGCCAGCATTTGTCCAAAGACAGTTTTCCGTGGTCACGTGGCCAGCACAACTAGACACGGAATGCCGTTACCTTCCCACCAAGGTGGTACCTTTTTATCTACTCACATTTTTATATGCTTTCGAACTGCTGGGTTAGCAAGAGCTTGGACAAGCAACAGGAGCTCACTCCATCACATGGATTCAATCTTACGACTGCTGGTCTTCTGACCTTGCAGCACAGAGGCTTCTGCAGTTTAACATGCAGCGCCACCACATCCCCCCTATAGCAATAGCAGTCATACTAAATTGTTTTTATTAGTAACAGACACTTGCCATTACTGTATAGTAACTGTAACAGTTACAACTGTTAGTAGCAATAACATTCCTGTTCTTACATTCAAGGATGAAATGGGAATCTGCATGACTTTTGAACAGTCAAAATAAACAGCAAAGGCAGTTGCTCTTTGCATTCTTCTGGCAGGCGTTTTTCATCAGCAGGAAGAATCCTTCTATCAAAAGAAGGGGGATTTTGGTCCCAACCCTTCTTTAATTTACTTGCCCTCTTTTAATCCTTTATGTCTTCAGTAGTTACTAAGCCATTATTTAAAAAAAGCTTGAAAAGTAGAAACACTAACTGCTAATGCTTCATTTTGGCACCTTCCATTTATGAAAATGAAATCCAAAAATGGTTAAGCCATAATAAAGACACAAAGTTAGGGGGGAAAGTCACATATAAAGGCTGTAAGTTCTAGAATCTGAAATGTTGGCTGAGAATTTTAGGATCTGTAGCCCCTAAAAAAGTAACTTTTCCTAGCACTGTGAAGATTTTGTTTTTGGTACCACAAGACAGTTCTCTATTTTGGCTGGAAGAAAATAACACAGTGGAAATTTATCTGTCCTATAAACTCCATGGTCTAATGCCCCCTTGCATTTGTTTTCTTTTGTCATGTTATACTTCTTTCTACACTCACTGCCTATAATTGGGGGAAGCTCCTAAAGAAAGACACTATTCCATTCTTTTGTATGAATACTAAAATAAAAGCTCCCCAAACAGCCATCTACTTGAATACAAATCAAACACTCTATGGCTGAAATCCGGTAGCATAAAGGTACTAGATAAAGCTGATGATGTAATCAGCCACAGGTTTTTTTTTGGGGGGGGGAAGGAAGGAATTAAAGGTTTCTGCCCTTCATGGTTTGCTGCCTTGTCCTGACGAAGGGGCTTGAGTAATTCAGAGAAACTATGGGCTATATCATGCAGCGCCACCCAAGAAGGACAGGTCATAGTGGAGAGTTCTGACTAAACGCGATCTACCTGGAGCACGACCTGGCAAGCCACTCCAGTATCTTTGCCAAGAAAATTCCATGGACAGAAACAAAAGGCTAAAAGATATGATGCTGGAAGATGAACCCCTCGGGTTGGAAGGCATCCAACATGCTGCTGAGGAAGAGCAGACAACAAGTACAAGTAGCTCCAGAGCTAATGAAGTGGGTGGGCCAAAGCTGAAAGGACACTCAGCTGTGGATGTTCCTGGAAGTGAAAGGAAAGTCTGATGTTGCAAAGAAAAATACTGCATAGGATCCTGGAATGTAAGATCTATGTACCTTGGTAAGCTGGATGTAGTCAAACATGAGATGACAAGAATAAACATCGACACCTTGGGTGTCAGTGAACTAAAATGGACAGGAATGGGCGAATTCAATTCAGGTGATTATCATATCTACCACTGTGGGCAAGAATTGTGTAGAACAAATGGAGTAGCCCTCATAGTCAACAAAAGAGTGGGGAAAAGTGTACTGGGATACAGTCTCAAAAATGATAGAATGATTTCAATATGAATCCAAGGCAGCCCTTCAACGTCACAGTCATCCATGTTTATGCACCAACCCCCTATGCTGAAGAGGCTGAAATTGACCAATTCTATGAAGACTTACAAAACCTTCTAGAACTGACACCAAAGAAAGATGTTCTTCTCATTAAAGGGACTGGAATGCTAAAGGAGGGAGTCAAGAGATAAAAGGAACAACAGGAAAGTTGGCCTTGGAGTTCAAAACGAAGCAAAGGCTAATAGAGTTTTGTCAGGAGAACAAGCTGGTCATCGCAAACACTCTTTTCTAACAACACAAGAGGCACCTCTACACCTGGACATCACCAGATGGCAATACCGTAATCAGATTGATTATGTTCCCTGCAGCCAAAGATGGAGAAGCTCTATACAGTCAGCAAAAACAAGACCAGGAGCTGACTGTGGTTCTGATAATCAGCTTCTTAGAGTAACATCCAAGCTTAAACTGAAGAAAGTAGGAAAAACCACTGGACTAGTCAGGTATAATCTAAACCAAATCCCTTATGAACACACAGTGGAACTATTGGGTATGGCATGGCCTGCGACAATTCACGCGGCAGAGTAACAAAAACAGTCTGTTTAGCAGCAGTGACTTTTTGGCTGAGCATTTAAATCAAGTCTTCAGCTGTTTTGAGGTGGAAACAGGAAGAACCATTATTCCAGCACCTACTATCTAAAGTACATCTCTAGAATCTGCCACCAACAGACAACCACTACCACTTCAGATTTCAGTTGTGAGATGTGCTTTCCAGAATATTAATATTCGAAAGGCATCTGGACCAGATGGAATCATGGAACAAGTTGTTAGGGGCTGCGCTGCAGAATTAGCTGAATTTTTAATAGATATTTTCAATCTATCCTTGATGCAGTGTTCTGTCCCCACTTGCCTGAAGACATCTCTTATAGTGCCAGTCTCCAGGCAGTCAGCTGTGGTATCTCTCGATTATAGACCAGTAGCTTGAACATCTGTTATTATGAAATGTTTTGAGAAATTTGTGCTGGATTACATTAAGGCTAGGCTTCCACCTTCTTAGGACCCATGGCAATTTGGATACAGGAGAAATAGATCTGGTGATGATGCTATGTCCATTGTTCTCCATACTGTATTGCAGGGGCGGGCAATTAATTTCTTTAGGGGGCCACATGAAAAATCTGAATGGTGTTCGGAGGCCAAACCAACTTTACTTAAAAATAAAATGAAACAGTGATGTTATGATAGTTTTTATTTTAAATTTGTTAATCTTCACAAATACTAAAGAGTTTTTTGCGGTATGTTAAAGAAAATCAACTGATCAACTTTAGACAAAAAGCCTGGGCCGCACTTTGCCGAAGTCTGCTGTATTGAGTTACTTAGAACAACAGGGAACTTATGCAAGGCTGTTGTTTGAGGATTATAGCTCTGCTTTTAATACCATTCTACCCATTAGGTTGTTTCTTAAAATGATCAGCCTGGGCTTACTTCAGAAGATTTCTGTATGGGGAAAGAACTTTCTGACAACTAGGCCACTGTCAGTAAGGATGGGATCTCACCATTCTTCTACCCTGGTACTAAGTACAGGAACTCCCCAGAGTTGTGTGCCAAGTCCCTTCCTCTATTCCCTGTACACACATGATTGCACCCCACTGTATAGCACCAACACAGTTATTAAATTTGCGGATGATACGATAGTGATGGGGCTCATGAATAAGAACAATGAGTTTGCTTACAGAAAGGAAGTACAAGGGTTGATACTCTGGTGTAAAGAAAATAATCCTGCACTTAACATAAAAAAAAACAACTAAAGAACTCATAATTGATTTTAGGAGGAAGAGAAATGTACACTTACCACGGTACATAAATGGCAAGGAAGTGGAGAGGGTTGGTAGTTTTAAATTTCTGGGCACTTGCATCTCAGAGGACCTCTCATGGACTATAAATGCCAACATGCTAGTGAAGAAGGCACAGAAGTGGCTGTATTTCCTGAGAATGCTCAGGAAGTTAAATTTATCTTAGCATTTACTTCTGTCCTACTATTGTAGCACCATTGAGAGTGTCCTAAACTATGGCATTCTTGTATGGTTTGGGAGCAGCTCTGTAGCAGACAAAAAAGCTCTACAGAGAACCATTAAAATTGCCCAGAATATCATCGGCCTCCAGCTATCAACCCTGGATGACATCTTCACATCCGGCTATCTGAGGAAGTCACACAAGATCCTTAGAGACTCTTCCCATCTTGTTCACAGCTTCTTTGAACTGTTGTCGTCTGGCAGAAAATACAGAACAATTAAAACTCTGACCACATGTTTTCTGAATAGTTTTTGTCCCAGAGCTATAATTGCACTTAATAATGAATTTAAAGACCACCAGCAGGGAACAGTTGGACAGTGTTACTTAGCCTGCGGTGTGGATGTTTGTGTTCTTAGTGGGGGATCTTATTTTGTTTGTTTGTTTGTTTGTTTGTTTGTTTGTTTGTTTGTTTAATTTATATCCAGAGTGACTGCATGAGGATTGTTTTACTGCCATTGTCCATACTGGCCACTCAGTCTAATGTGGTTCAATCCATGACATAGACTATAAATCATAGACCATGAAGACCATAAACACCCATCCTTTAAGAATGTCAAGTTTGACTGTTGAAGGAGAATGGGGCTCCATAAAAGGAGGAAAAAATGGTTATACTGTATCTCCAAATGGGCAGAGCAAGATTTGTATAATTGTTTTTGTTGTTTTATTTTTTAGGTTTGTACCTTTTTTGCTTTATTATTAAAAAAAAAAACAGAAAAGAGAAAGAAAAATGTGAGCAGTTAGTGCCAGTTTCTAGACTAATATGCAGATATGTGTAGAAATTGCTCCTGCCCTGCAATTTGTTTGTCTGGCTTCAAATGCATTGCTAATGGATGGTTGACAGCCTCTGCTGGAGGGCTAAGATGGGCAAGAGGACACATTTGGCACATTTAGGTTTTGATGTGAAGTAAAAGCATAATAGTTTCATGGAGAACAGTTTCCCATTATATAAAGTAAAAGCATTGACCTGTAGTGATTAGAATGATTATAGGGGAAAGCAGACAAACTCTCCATGTTCTTTCCTGTACATGAATATTCTTTCCTTCTGCCATGTATTGTCGCTTGTATCTGGTAAGTGTGCGTGTTGTCTAAAAAAATGACCTCCCTGCCATTTGGATCATTTTTAGGGGGCCTGAGAACGTCAACATTTGTTTAATCCCCTTTTACTTCATCAGCATGACTGGTTCTCTCTCTCTCTCCTTCTCTCTACACAGGGAAAAAGAGTCCAGACCTTGGAGAATATGACCCTCTCACCCAGGCTGACAGTGATGAAAGCGAAGATGACTTGGTCCTCAACTTGCAAAAAAATGGTGGTGTTAAAAATGGGAAAAGTCCCCTGGGAGAAGTACAGGACGTGGACTCGGATGTGGAGGTTGGAGTGACGAAGCAGCACCTGTCAGAAGGGACAGTGGAGGAGTATCCTAGTGAGGCCCCAAGTAGCCTGGAGCAGAAGACGGCCAGCTCTTTGATGCCATACTTGCGCACAGCTATCTTTTTGCTCACTGTGGTGGTCTCCATGATCCTTGTGCTTGTGTGTGCTTTTCTTATTCCTTGTCCTCCAAGAGACTTGCATAACACGTGGATTCGTAACTTGGGTCAGGAGGCAGGTAAACACCTGGAATGGCACCTTCAGACCGATACCATGCAATAAATGTCAGACTTAAGAATTCAAGGGATTTGGTGGAAAATGAGAATAGTTGTTACTTCTCCTGTTATATAATTATGTTCTGACACTGCAAGCAGATTTATAATGAAGTCTGCATTATTTTGATCAAATATTTGACAATGCACTCAATTATTCAAATATGTAAGCAATCATTAACTTTCACTCAAGCTTATCTTGTTTGCAAATCCTTCTTTTTGGCCTTAAGGCTCCTACATGCTAATTACTTTAAGAAAGACTAGAAAACCTGCATTAAGCATTATGGTGAGTCTGTGACCACAACAGATACATATAAGCACTTTTATTTTAACAACAGTGCTGGCCAGCAAGAAATAATAAATAAAGCAACTGCAGCAAAGCAACAGGCAAAATCCAACAGGTCAGATAGATTTCTTTAGAAGTTTGAGATGATAGATTGAGGGAACAGTCTTCAGGAAGAATCTGAGAGATTTGGTGGAGTGGGATTATCCCTCATCCTCAGTCCTTTGTTCTTCTAATGAGCCTATTAAGATGAGGGGGAAGTGAAACCAATGGGGGGATATATCAGGGATCTCCTACCAACCCTCCTCAGACTGAAGAAGCTACTTGGATGAGTAGCGAAATGTTTCAACCTAACAAAAAAGTCCAGTTGCCATGACTCAGTTTACAGATTATTTCAAGTTACAGTGGTACCTCGATTTATGAACTTAATCCATTTTGGAACGACGTTCGTACAGCAAAAAGTTTGCAAGTCAAAGTAGCATTTCCCATTGAAATGCATGAGATCAGCACCTTCGGAGCTCTCAAAGGGATTCCTCTGATGTTGGGTGGAAAGCCCTTTGAGAGCTTGTTCATAGGTCGAGCTCCGTTCGCAAGTCAATGCCAATTTTTGCCAACAGAGCCTTTCGAAAATTGAAAAGTTTGTATCTACGGACGTTTGTAAGTCAAGGGTTGGCTTATTTACTTGTACAATTTTAAATGTAACTATTTAACAGCAATCTCTCTGTTTAATATCAGCAAACTAAGCTCAAACCCAGTTAAGTCCCGTGAACACTAGAATCTTTTCTGTTTGAGACTGGAATTCTATAAACACAACATTCAGAATCTTCACTGGAAAGAAACAAAATGAATTTACATAAATTGATTTAATTTGTATGCCTGTCACAATAGCCACATATTTCTTCTGTTTTGGCAGGACTTTGAGTGCAGAAAAAATAATACACTCTTCTAGATTGCAAAAGTACAGAGCAGATCTAGGGCTAAAGGCTGTATTTAGATGGAAATCAGTGTGTTTTAATGGTTAGATAACAAATGAGAATGTGCTTAACATCTGTAAGTAATTGAGCCACACAAGGAAAAGTTGATTACATCTGATTATTTCAATAGATATGTTCTAGCTGACCAGTTAAACTGATTATTTATGTTTCTTTAAGTCAATCCACTCTGCTAGAAGATTAAATAGTTATCCAGCTTTAGGTCTTTTTTTCTTTTGGTACAAAAAGATTCTCATGCTGATTTCACTTGCCCCACTACTGGTTCATATAGCTGTTAATGCTGTTCTGGAATGTTTTGTGTTGTAGTGTGCTTTGTGGCATGTTGTAATGCAGGCAACATCTTTTGTTTCAAATCCACTTTAGAACCACATCAAAAATGGCAGAATGAATTCATTCATTTTCTTATATTCAGCCTTTGTTCCAATAAAAGAACTCATGGCAGCTTAAAAATATTTAAAAGACAAACACAGGTAAAAAAATAAAAAATAAAATATTTAAAATACACTACTAAAACATTTAAACTTACTGTTAAATCAAATTAATATAATAAGTTAAAACAGTTTAAAAGTACATTATTATTATTATTATAGCTGAACAACAAGCAGAGCGCCTGCTTTAGATGTGGAAGATCCCAGGTTACGTTCCCAGAGATGGCTAAAGAATTATCCTCCAAATCCAACAGAACGTGTACCTGTAAATACTGGGTTACATGGACCAGTGGTCTGATCTGTTAGATGAAACTTCCCTTGTGCTTAAGCAGCTGCTGTTCTTTAATGTTCTTTAATATTTAGACTGAAGGAATAAAATCAAGACTATGCTAGAACAATATACAAGAAGGAAGCAATGCCTTTGGGTCAATGGCTGACCCTAATTGGTCTTCCGTAGGCTCCTCTTTGAACATACTGCGGTTTAGCTCTGATATAATGGTTTCAACCAGCTTTTTGGTGGATTGCAAACACCAGTATAACATCAAAAACTCCTTGCCAAATTTATATACATTTATTTTAAAAGCTATTTCACAGAATCATCCCCTTATCCGAATCCTACCACATACTTTAAGTTATACCAAGGAATTGAAAGATCTTACTTTCAAATTAGGGCCCAAAGTATATTAAGGCCCTGCTGAGAATATTGCTATGGGAGAGATCTCCCTATTTTTCCGTGTATAAGACCACCATGTATACTCCCTATTTTTTGGTGTATGAGACCCCCCATGTATAAGACAACCCCCAATTTTTAACCCTTGCAGCAGGCGGAGGCGAAGGAGCAGCCACACTTGGCCGCCACTCACGGCTGCCCATTGACTGGCTGCGGCTGCCCGATCACCTCCTCCAGTGCCATTTGCGGGCTCCCTTCACGCCCCTCATGGCTGCCCATTGACTGGCTGCGGCTGCCCAATCGGCTCCTCCAGTGCCATTTGCGGGCTCCCTTCAGTCAGGGGACAAGGCAGTCACGTGAACTTGAGATGAGCCCCACGAGTGGCTCTGGAGGAGGCGATTGGGCGGCTGCAGCCACGGTCACAGTCAACAGGGGTGAGGGGTGGCCAAGCATGGCTGCTCCTTTGCCTTGAGCACGGCTGCTCCTTTGCCTTCACCTTCTGCTGCTGTTGCCCACTCACCTCCTCCAGTGCCACTTGCGGGGCTCTGCCCATTCACCTCCAGTGCCACTTGCGGGGCTCACCTCAAGCGCATGCTGCTGTCTTGTCCCCTGCCCAAAGGGAGCCTACGAATGGCAATGGAGGAGGCAATCAGACGGCAGTGGCGGCAGGAGGCGGAGGTGAAGGAGCAGCCGCGCTCGGCCATCCCTTGTGGCTGCCCAATCGCCTCCTCCCACACCACTCACAGGCTCCCTTCAGGCAGGGGACAAGGCAATGACATAAGCTTGAGGTGGGCCTTGTGAGTGGTGCGGGAGGAGGCGATCGGGCAGCCGCAGCTGCAGCCAATAGGCAGCCGTGAGGGGCGGCTGAGCGCAGCTGCTCCTCCACCTCCTGCTTCGGCATACTTCCGTGTATAAGATGACACTCAATCTTTGCAGTAACTATTTTAGGAAAAAGTATCATTTTATACACAGAAAAATACGGTAATCAATTTCAGGAGTTCTAGAAAAGTATATCCGAATGCACGTAAGCCAGATTAAACAGCAAGAAAATGCCCTGCCAGTAGGGAGAGTAACTCAGATGGTGAGATGTTAGAGGGACAGAACAGTGACAAGTTATTGGCTGACAGAGCTATGTGGGTTGTGCAACCTCCCTTCTCCCCTTTAACTAGCCTTCTTCCCTTGCAGTAGCAAAGGGGGGTGTTCTGTCACTGGTATTGTTGTAAGATTCATCTGCCAGTCCAGTTGTCGTCTTCCCTCTCTTTTTGTCTCAGTCCAAAATAAAAACAACATAGTTATATCATAGTCCGCACACAGTGATAGTGATGAGTGTATATTTCGGGGAGGGGGGGGGAGGTAAGGAATTTCTTTTAAAAATTAGCATATTTCATTTTATTCCTCAGGTGGCGTACTCTTCCCACCAGAACTTTTTGATGTAAATGGTGATGGTCTTCCTGACATCCTGCTCTCCTTCACAGCTCTGAAAAATGCCAGTGTGCTAGGTAAGCATTTGGATCCTCCCAGCTATCCCTCAAACTGACAGCAAAAATGTTCTCTTTATGCAGTTATACCATCACACCACACCGTTCGTTTCTTCCAGTGGCTGCCTGTACCTTTCAACGCAACCTGCTACTTTAAAAACAAAAATTAAATAAAATTATGTACATTGATCTCTAACTAATGGAACAAGATGGTGGAGCTGATGGGAGGCAGCCAAGATGGTGGCATTGCTGACTTTCAGCCCCACTTCCCTCTCAGTGAAGACTTCAGAGCAAATGACCGAGGAAGACAAATACAGAATCTGCTGGCCTGGATCCAGTATTATCCAGTTGTGTTGGATTATATTTTGGGTGATTGCAAGCCAGCACAGCTATTGGCCCATGAAGCATTGTGCCAGGCTATGGAAAAGCTGCTGTATCCTTGCTATAGAGTAATACCATATCTGAAAAGATGTAATTCGTACACTTTGGAAGTTGTAGCTGCAATAAAACTGAACCACCAAAAGAAGCAGAGAAGTAGCATGTTTTCAGGAAATACTGTCCAAGGCTATAGCCAGGTGATAGAGTGTGTGGAAAAGACCAAAGTTTGTCAGTATTAGCTTTTTGCAAATGGCCATGCAGGTTGTTGGAATTCTGGAAGTAGTTGTCCGAAAAAGTAATTTTTTTGTGTCCTGAGAAGACACTTGTGGTTACCTTAAGAACCTGTTATGACATCTTAGTCAGAAAACTGTGATCTGTTGGAGAGTGTTAAGCTCTATTTTATTTATGTGATTATTCCATATAATAAATATTTCAGCACTCCTAAACCCTACTGTTCATCTCAGGAAAACTCAGACAAGCAGCCAAGAGCAAAGAGCAGGAACAAATTTCATTTCAACTGATGTAGTAAAGAAATTTCCAGGAGGGCAGTTCCCTTGGGTCTCAGTTGCTGGCTGGAGGATGAATAAGCTTGTTTTTTAATTATCCTGTCATTGACTCAGCAGTTATGAGCTGCAAAGAAAACATAACTGACACTTGTAACTCATTGTGGGTTAGGAAACCTGGGAGTGCTCAGCACGGTTGAACACCCATTCAACAGCAGCTTTCTTCATTGTTTCCTGCTTAATCCCCTGTGCACATTTACACAGAAAGTGAAAGCTGGCTGAATTTGGCAGGGTTGATGTACTGGTAAGCCATGACCCTACAGAATGGGGAATTCTGGAACCTGTAGTCCAAACATCAACAATCAAAATCCAGGCTCTACTGATAGATTTTCATATCTATTCTGCCTTTCTCCCAGACTTGGAAAATGAAGGCCTAAGGTATGTGAGTCTCATTGAAGTCAGTGGGACTTATCTCTGAGGAAATACAGTGGTGCCTCACTTAACGACAATAATCCGTTCCAGGAAAATCGCTGTTAAGCGAAAACATCATAAAGCGAAATTAAAACCCCCATTGAAACGCATTGAAAACCATTCAGTGTGTTCCACTGGGGTAAAAACTCACCGTCCAGCGAAGATCCTCCATACGGTGGCCATTTTCAGTGCCTGTATAGCGAGGAATCCGTCCCTAAGCACAGCGGGGAGCCATTTTAAGCACCCGGCGGCCATTTTGAAAACCCGACGATCAGCTGTTTTTGATCGTCATAAAGCAAAACTTGGTTCCCGAAGCAGGGAACCAATCATCGCTAAACAAAATTCCCCCATTTAGACCATCATTTTGCGATCGCAATTGTGATCACAAAAAGATCATCGTAAAGCAGATTCATCGTAATGCGGGACAGTCGTTAAGCGGGCACGACTGTAGTTGTAAGCTTGAGTTGTAAGTGGACTTCATGGAATCCCAGCTGGATAAATCCATGCCATGGCATGTATTTGGAATTCTGCAAAGAGCTTTATGGGATACCTAAGCTTGAGTAGTAAGTGGACTTCATGGAATCCCAGCTGGATAAATCCATGCCATGGCATGTATTTGGAATTCTGCAAAGAGCTTTATGGGATACCTGAAGATGACAGCAGAAGTCAGTGTTAGGTTCCTGTACTTGGGAAGAGATTTGACTACATATTGTGTATGTGTTTCTCCTCAGGTGTCTCCAAGCCATGGGTAACTGTGATGGCCCTTTCGGGTATGAACGGCAGCACCCTATGGTCCAGTCATGTTAAGGAGGAGATTCGGAGTGTGCAGTGTAAGGGTTTGAACCTGCTGCCATTGGCAGAACCAGTCTGCCTTATTACTGGGACCTCAAAATTCCTCAGCCTTCTGAGTGCCTCCTCAGGTGAGTCCAATAAATATAGATAGAAAATCATCAGAAAAATAGCTAGTAGAGCTAGCAAAGCTAGCGTAATTCAGTGACTATTCCTTGTTGGCTGGCTTCAAATTCATTTGGGCTGCAGTATTGCACAGAATTGGGGTGCAATCAGTTTGCAGTTTGGTGCAAGTTGGGGACTGGCTGGTTTATTCCTTTTCCCAGCAACCACACGTCATATGTGCCATCAGTGTCTACCTACATCTTTTTGGGTCCCTGTAAGGGGCTACTGTTGTCATATGTGCCATCAATGTCTTTTTGGGTCCCTGTAAGGGGCTACTGTTGGTTTGGTGTGGACAGGATCACTAAATTTTCGTTCAGGTCCAGTGTCTGTGATTGCTGAGATTGAAACAAAATGGTTGGCTCAGAGGTTTCCTTTACTGAAGCTGCTTAATGATCTTGAGAAAAGGGAAGGAAGTTTTCCATTTCTCAAGATTATTAAGATTTTAAATAAAGCATGAAAGAGGATACAGGAGGGTTTTTTTTTCCTTTAAAGGGAAAATCAGTCTAGATTTTGCTAAGCTGGGTCACCTAAGGTGCAGTGTGATTGCTCCTTGCAGATGAATGCGAAGATCACTCCAAATGACTTGCTAAGCTGGGTCACCTAAGGTGCAGTGTGATTGCTCCTTGCAGATGAATGCGAAGATCACTCCAAATGACATACCGCACTTCAAAGCAATCCTGTTTAGCATGATCTAGACCAGTGGTCATCAGCCTTGGGTCTCCAGATGTTTTGGGACTAAAACTTCCCAAATACATATGCTTCTTAAAGTCTATTTAACACTGGAATTATCTAAGTTAGTGTTACTGAAAGTGGAAGATAAAGGAAAATTTAGAATTTGTAATGCGTTCATAATCTAAACCAGGCTTCCTTAATCCAAAGCCTTAGAGATGTATTGGACCACAATTCCCACAATCCACACTCATGGTGGCTTTCTTGTCTGTGGAAGATGAGAGCTGTGTTCTCACACTTCTGGAAGAAATCATAGTGGGAAAGATTGTTTTAAACTAGTAGCATTAGAGCTCTGTACATAGGCAATGAAGTGAGAAATCTAAAATGCCAAGGTACTTTGGAGATGGATGAATTTCACAGGAGGCTGTGAGGGTGAGTTGTGCCAATGATTTACTCTACATTAGAGATGATGTTTGCATTTTCCTCTACTGTGCCTCTCCCCAGTCTGAATCTGTGCTCTGGTGCTGTCCTCTGAAGATGCCAGCCACAGAGACTGGCAATATGTTAGGAAGAACAACCTTCAGAACACGGCCAAAGAGCCCGAAAAACCCACAACAACCATTAGATCCCGGCCGTGAAAGCCTTCGCAAATACATGACCTGATTTGTTTGAGACTTTTGATCTGCTTTGACTTGTAGTGTCTTTCTTGTCTCTCTCTGGTCTCTACTTCATGAGGATCTCCTTGAGCCTCCATTAGAAACGTGCTGTTTGTGTTTTTTGATAACACTGATATGGTCTGCCTCCTACAGGGAAAACAGTTTGGATGCTTAATCCATCCCACCTGCCAAGTGGAACCCTGGCAGCTCCAGCTGTTACTGTACCAGATGTGGATGGTGACAGGGTCAGTGATTTAGTGGTCCTGGCCATTGGAGAAACACAGGTATGGTTCATCTTCCCCTATACAGTGGTACCCCACTTAATGCTTACCCCGCTTGATGACGAATACGCTTCACGGTGAAGTTTTTGCAATCGCTTTTGCGATCGCAAAACAATGTTTGAATAGGTTTTTTTCGCTTTGCGATGATCGGTTCCCTGCTTCGGGAACTGACCTTTGCATTACGACGATCAAAAACAGCTGATCGTTGGGTTTCAAAATGGCTGCCAGGTGTACAAAATGCCCCCCGCTGTCTTTAGGAAGGCTTTTTCGCAAGACAGGCACTGGAAAATGGCCGCCCTATGGAGGATCTTCGCTAGACGGTGAGTTATTCAGCTCATTGGAATGCATTGAACGGGTTTTCAATGTATTTGAATGGGATTTTTTATTTCGCTTGACGAGGATATCACTTAATAGCGATTTTGCTGGAACGGATTATCTTCGTCAAGCGAGGCACCACTGTACCATGGCGGATGATCTCAGTGGAGCCATCAGCCATTTTCAAATTTGACAGCTTCCCGGGGCTGGACATTGGAGGGTGAGGGGGAGAGATGTGGCCGAAGAGAATAATTTGCATATTGTGTTTAATTGATTATGTATGTATTTATGATAAAGTTTGCTACAGCGGGTTTTTGATAAGTGAAGAATGGTTTATCTGAGAAACTTTTTCTTAACTGAAAAAGTTCGCCATGCCCTCTCATGGCCAATTATTTTAAAAAATAAAATGGGGAATGGGGTATTGATGGCTGCACAGATACTGAAGTGACCTCATAACATGGCAGAATGGCTCCTTATGCCCCCATAGTGCACAAGAGGATCTTTAGGAATGTTTAAAGTCTTTTAATTTTTTGGAGGATGGGCTGCAGAAGCAGTTCTTATGGTCCTCATGTGGCCCAGAGCCTGCATGTGTCCCATCCAGTCCTAAGTGGAGTGGCAGAGAGGAGAATGTGATCTGAGTAGAGCACTGTTCCCTAATCTGATACTCTACGGATGTGTTGCACTACAATTCCCATCACCTTCAAGCCCCAGGTTCCAGAGAGCTGGAGTAGAATATGATGGGCAGGTAACCAGCTGCCTTCCATACAGGTATTAGGCCCTGCCAGGCCTCTTTCTGGCTTGGAAAGCAGAATGAACTAGATGTTGTGTGTGTGTATGTGTGTTTTGACAACTGATGCACCCTTGTAAGGTGCTATTGACCTTTAGCCGTCATCTGAAATGTGACACTCCCACCACTACTTTGCCTTGCAGCCAGGGTTTGGCAAAATACATAAGGTTAAGATCTAGGATGGACACTTCTGTCTGACAGTAAGAACTAGCAGCTTGTTAGTAAATGTTGTGTCACACAGTGACATAGGTGCCGCTTTGTATTTAGGGAGTGGTGTAAGCTGGGACAGACCAATAGAGTTTGCTATCCAGAGCACCTTCCTTCATTCTATGCACACATGGACTGGCTCTGTTGAATTTCGGGGTCCTCTGCCACACCTCTGAGCAGCGGGATAGCTTAAGGGCCACAGGATGGGTCATATGGCACATTCAGCGTTGTCCTCCAAACAAAAGGAGTAACCAAGGAGCTCAAGAAGACAGGCTCGAGAGGCTGCTATTGCCGCCTCAGGCATCTGTCTGACTCTGCTTAGTGTAGGGGCTGACTTTCTGTGTGGGATTGCCCTGCAAGATAAAGAGGCTGCCTGTGCATACAAATTCACTTCCACACTTCCATGTATCTTCCTTCTTCTTTGTAGCCAGATTTATGCTTCATCCTGGTATCGGGTAAAACAGGAACCCCTGTGGGAGGGCCTGTGAAGTACAGCATCAATGGAAATGGAAAACTGATTGGCCCTCAGGCTCATATCACCAGCCATGGAGCCGTCTACATCTTGTTTGGCTTTGGTAAGGCGCCTTGGCAGTATAATATTTCCAAAATGCATTATCCATAGAGCCAGTTTCGGGGTGGAAAAAAGTCATCCTGCATCACAGACTAGTGACTGATTTGAAAAAAGGAAGAAGAACTAGGGTGAAAGTGCAGCCATTCTCAACCACAATAAACAAGAGATGAAAGAAATATAGGCCAAATCAGGATTGTATAAATCGCATAACACACTTTATAAGGTGGTGTGTGAAGAATTGTTTCCAGCCTGTGGTCCCTTTCAAATGTGCCAAGGCCCATACGGCCCCATTGAGAATGGCTAGTTTAGAGGGACAAGCCAGAGATACACAGGAGTAACTACTTCAAGAAGAGAAAGTGAAGAGGGCTGCAGTTAGTGAGACAAAGTGCATGTTATAATTTGGATATTTAATATTCTGGATTGCCAGAAAGACAAACAAGTGGGTCCTATATCAAATCAAGCCTGAACCATCTTTGGAGACAAAAATGTTAAAACTGAGGCAGCCCTACTTTGGGCACATCATGAGAAAGCAGGGTTCTCGAATAGACAGTAATGCTGGGAAAGGTGGAAGGCAGCAAGAAAAGAAGATGGAATATGAGATGGACTGAGTCCCTAAAAGAGACCACAGACTTGAGTCTGCAAGAACTGAGCAAGGTGGCTGAGGACAGACAGTTTGGAGAGCAGTCATTCATAGGGTCTCCATGAGTCAGCGGTGACTTGATGGCATATAACAAGAACAACAATAGGTTTGACTTGCTATAGACGGTACTTACCAGGCATTAGGATTGTTAAGTGTCTGTCTTATATAATCTTGCAAATCCTTAGAACCCAAAGAACCAGAATTTAAAGCCGTCTGTATGCCAGTAATAAAACTCACAAGGAAGGCAAGTAGCATATGAAAAGATGCTCAGTACTATTTACTACCCTATATTTGTCTCAGGACTTTTCTGCAGAACCTGTTTTTGTGCAATCTACACACATTTTCTGAAGGCAGTTATTTGTACTTGGGGAAAATTGTGATTACCAAATTGCCCAACTACTTTTATTGTGGGTAGGACATGCTGCATTGTGAAGTCTGTCACATTTACTGAATTTTGGGGCGTTATGTAATTATGACATTCGTCTTTGCAACAGTTGATGACTGTATGGTTGGAGATTTTTATTGTTCTATCTATATTCTGTGATAGCTATACACATTCAATACAGGAGTACATTTTCAGCAGTATTTTTCTTTCACATTAATGTAGTAGAATTTTATATGGCATACCCTTTAAACATTTCAATGCCTTTCCTATATGGGAATCCATATGAATATCATTTTTCTAAAGGCAGAAACAAGCATCAGAAGACAAAGTCTCAGAAAAGGGACTGGAGGGGATATTTTGAAAAAAAAAAAGTGGGGATATGATTAAATCATGTATTGACTTGCTACGATTAGAGGCGCATCTGTACAGTTTTTTCACTTCCCCTTGTGGGGAGTCTTGAAGGCAAAGGGTGACATGGCTGGAAGGTAGCAGAAACCAAGTGAAATGCTGTCTGTGGAATTACTGCACAATGGCTAGAGCACAAAAGTGCAAAGTGAAGCCTTCTACGTACTGCTGTACTACAGCTCCCACTATACTCCATCAACAACTATGTTTGTTAGAGCTGATGGGAATTGTAGTCCAACAACTTATGGAAAGCTGCAGTTTTGCCGTGGATGAGCTAGAATGTGGTAGTTTCACATTTTTCGTGATTTGTAAAAGATAGCTTTGCAGCAACGTTTGCACCTTTTCAATTTCCATCTACCTTCATGCCCCCCCCCCCGCCTGCTTTGATGAAATGCATGAGAACATTAGTCTTTCCTCCATTCTGTCACCTAGGTAATGTACAAGCAGTTGCCCTGCGGGATATCTTTGCTCAGGCCAAAAACCGAGACAGCTTTCCACCTGTGCTGCAGCAAGAAGAACCGGAGTGGGAGAAACGGCGATCAGTCAATTTGTCAGAGCTGATTGATATTTACAGGTAAAATAATAGTATCTCCTCACTGTGAAGTAGGCTGACTTTCCAAGTCATAACAGAAGTCCCTATTGCATATGGAGATGAGGAAAATCATCTGCTGGCTACCTGTCAGGATTTTTGCTAGAGATATATAATACCTTGCCTTAATATAGAGTGTTGAACTCAGTGACTTGTGGTTGTAACTTTTTCTAAATGATTGTAATTGTTCATAGTTAAATATTTTTTTCTGACCTTACAGTCCATTAAACCTAGCTATTACTGTAGTCCTGGGCAGAATGTTTGATCATAAGATTTTTCATGCTGCTCCCTTGCTTTGCTTTTTAGCAAAACATGGAGTTGCTATGAAATCCTTCCCTGAAATGAAGTTAGAATTGAATTACGTATTTGGTTCTGATATTTTGTAATAATGCCCTGAAATGCCAGGGAGATTTCCAGTGAAAGCTGCATTATTTCATTCAAAGAGTTGGCAGGGCACCCAATTATTTAAGTACTGCACAAACATAGTTACTTTCACTCAAGCCTGTGTTGCTCTCAGTTATGCTTATTCTTATTTTTTAATTAATCTCAAGAATCTTACCTGCTAACAGGTGCATGCAGCTTTTAAGAAAGACTACAGAATTCATGAACTACTGGATTGCTCAGTGGTTTAGGCATCTGGTTGTGGAGCCAGAGGTTGGGGCTTTGATTCTCTACTATGCCTCCTTTACAGGGTTGGAGTCAATGACCTATAGAGTCTCTTCAAGCTCTGCAGTTCTAAGATAATAATGATGCAGTGAGGTGATGGTCACAACATTCACACTGGTTCAACAGGAAATGTTAGGAAAGAATGCATTCACACGGAACGATCTAGGACAGGTACTTGAATCAAGAAATTATAAATGCAGTACAGCAGAGCAGTAGTACCAGCTAAAATTCAACAGGCCAGGTAGATTTTCTATATAATTCTGAGGCAACATAGAAAAGCAGTCTTTAGGAAGAAGAATTCCTCCTAGAGATACTTGTGTGGAACATCCTGTGAGAAATGCATCTACTTTTACTGTTGTTTTGGCTTTTGAAGTGTTTTAAATGATGAAGGCTCTCGATCTCTAATCTGCTCTGAATGTTGCTTTAGGCAAATGGTAATAGCAACTCTGCTCCAAGAAACCTTTTACCCAAACAAATCATCCTTCTGTTAATCTCTCTCTCAGAATGGCATGAATTCTGACTGAGATCCATGTCAGAATCTGCTTGAGCACTTCCTTAGGAACTGCAGCATGTCGTTCTTGTGTTGGGTGGTTCCATCTGAGCTGGATAGCATCCTAAAGTGAAGTGATGGGTGCAAGCTCAGTTACCTCACATTTGCTCTTTGCCTCCCCAGTGGCGGTGTGGAGTTCCTGCAGGCGGTAAAATCTCCAGGAAGCAACTGCAGTGACCTTCTTGTCACTACTGAGCACGGTTTGACTTTACTACGAGGACAGGACTTAGAGCCTCACTGGATTCTGAACCAAAAGGACATTGACAGGTGATGAAATGTTCTTGTCTTTGCTGGGAATCACTGCATCTGTTCCTTCTGCATATTTCAAAATACAGTTGAATGGACTCTCTTTGCTATGCCTTCTTGGTTCCCGGTCCATGAGACCGGCGAAACAGCTTTCCCTAAATCAGGGGTAGACAGCCTTGTGCCTCCAAGAGACTTGAGAGCTGTGCTGGCTAAGGGATTCTCGGAAGCATCATCCAAAAAAACCCCCCCAAAACTCTTGACGAAAAACTTGACAAAGAGATCTTGAGATTGTCATTATTTCTCAGCCTAATCTACTTCCTAAAATTCTTGTGATGATAAAACAGGGAAGAAAGTCAGGAAACAAAGATAGGCAGATTTGAAAACCAGTGCACAGACCTCTGAAGCTTTTATAAAATGTGTTTGCTTGTGTGAGCTTTATATTGGATACTTGGTGAGACCAGAGTTAAAGGGGCATTTTCAAAAAGTGTGGGAAATGCCATGGTTGCTAATGAAACGCATGCATGCAAAGAATGTAGGCACTACAAAGTCATGCTTTGTGGTGAGGAGCCCAATTACATCCACAAATGTTCTCTCATTGTGTAAGGCTGTGGAATAATTGGTTCTTAAGGCCTGTGCTCCGTTTTCTCTGTCTCTGCCTCAGATACATCAGCAAATGATCTTTGCCCGCACCAGGGGACCTGACACGATGGATGAGCTGCCTAATCTTTTTGGGCAACACTGGCCCTTGTAGGAATGCAGACGAGCTCCTTGCCTCTCCTTTTGACACTTGTTTTCTCTATTTTTCCAGCCAGCCTTCCCCAGGATACTTCAGTGACGATGGGATCCTGGACTTTATGGTTCAGGCACAGAGTGGAAGCAACATCACAAAAAAGGTATGCTCATTAATTCTTTACCATTAAAAAGATTTGGAGAAGCAGCAGTTCCCTCTCCCTGGTGTCTGGGGCGGCACTCTTAACAGTAAAAATTACTCTGTGTCTATTGCTGTCTATTGAGTAGCAGCAAAAACTTGTATATCCTGGAAGCAACTGGTCAAAAAATGTTCTGCATAGTGTCAGTACTGCAGGGCAAAACAGATATGATACTAAATGCATCTTTGTATTTGATTTGTAAACTTTTTTTAAAAAATGCAAAGAGTAACTGCAGAAGTGGGAGTAGGACTGATAGTTTTTGAGATCACACAGCTTATGTGGAGGGGGCTTTCATCTATTCCTCCCTTGTTTCCATTCTGATGAAAATCAGTCATTTGAACCTGTTCTTTGCATTGGGACTGATTTCAGTGACTCACCGATTTCCATGAAACATATCCCTGCAAGGGTTCGGGTTTGGCCTCCCCTGGTTTTGTCTGAGACTCTGGAGACAATCACGTTGAGAAATCATAACTAGGCTTTATTGGAATATGTAACAATCAGTCTATGTTTGAATTCAACTTCTACGTTTTCTCTTGTTGCCAACGGGTCCAGTGAGGGCATTCAAACATCTTTAACGAAAGGGCTACAGGTCAACCCGTCCCAAGGTCCTTTCAAAAACAGATTACTGTCCTCCATCTCACAAGTCTCTATCTCAGGATTTAGTAGCGGAGTGGTCTCTTCATCTCGCACCTTCGTCTCGTACTGTTCCTCCTCTCCTTGTAGAGGGGTCCATGGTCCGTTAGGCAGCCCCTCCTCTGGGCTTCTTCTAGCTGCCATACCCGGCATTCTCTCTCCTCTCTGTCTACCACCTCTTTTTCCTCCCTGAGCCACCTGCACTACTCTCTGGCCTCCAACTCACCCCAATAGGAAGGACGCTGCCGTAGCCCCCTTCTTCGCTGGTAATCGGCTTCCTCCCTGGGAACCTGTACGTTCTCCCATTTGCCGGTCCAATGGTCCTCTACCCATATCATTTCCCAACCATGCAGTATTACGTCCACCTCTGCTTTTATATCTCCCATTCCCGCCTCCACAACAGACCTCCCCCTTTCCTCTCTTCCCTCCAATTCATTCCCGGTCTGGGTGGCCACTGTCATCTTTGACAGTTCCCACTCTAATCCCTGGGTATCCACTCCCCGCTGTTTGGTCTCAATGGGTGGTGCAGGCGTGTCAGTCTGTGCCTCTTATTCCTTTATGAGGGAGGACAACACTCTGGTGTCTCACAGTCTCCCACTGCAAGGAGTGAATTCAGAGGAGGGATTATTTTTGGTACTACAAGAGACTTCTTATCTCAGCAATTATTGTCTCCCACCATGGCTTCTATTTACATTTTTTTTAAAAAAAAAAATTGGGCATAAAGTTATGGCATGCATTATCCATCTCCACTACTATTTTGTTCCTTTCCCCTGTTTCAGGTTCTGAGGCTTCCTATGGCTCCTTTTGCCCTGGGAAAACCTTTGGGAGTCTTGGGATAAGGGTGGGGAGTGAATATT